GTGAAATAAAAAACATAATTAAATCAAAGAAATAAGATAATATAGGAATTTTTTTTGTTACTGCATTCGTTAGACTGCCAGATGACTATCTCATTATTTATTAATCTTCTGGGTTATCTCTATATTTGGGTGGTTCCTGAGGTTGTTGAATATCTCGTGCGCGCTTTCATCCATTGTTCTCAGGATTCTCTTTTGTTGTGAATCTCTTAATGGGATGTACTTAGGAATATTCAGAGCCTCTCTGATTATAAAGTTCTGGATGGTCTGTATCCTTTTTCTGTTGGTTTTAAACGTATGCCCCATGCTGCTAAGACCTATTAGTGATGAGAGTTGACTTCTGAGTGCTTTAACTTTGTTGACCATTTGTTTTACGTGCTCTGTTAAGGTCAGCTTTGTATCTAATGTCAAATATTTGGCTTGGTTTGACGATGCTATGGGGATATCGAATAGGGATAGTGCCCCATTTAGACTGCCTTTTCTTTTTTGGTACATAACGGTCTGTGTTTTGTCAGGCGCTGACGGCTATTTTCCACTGCACACACCATTCCTTAAGTTCGTTGAATGCTATTTGTAGGTGCCTCGTAGCTAGATCTGGGTTAATACTGCTAGCAGCTATCGCTGTATTGTCTGCGTACAGGCTTAGCTTACAACAGAACTTCGCCAACTTCGGTTGGCCTTATCCAAACTCTAAACCTTTTGTCGGCTAGTTATGAGAAAACAGGTCATCGCCTCGCTATAACTGTACTATTCTTTGTTTCAAGTTAAGAAAATAACATTATGCTTATGGAGATCAGTGTTGCCACAACTCTCAGACACTCTCTTTTGCACGGATGTCCAAGATATTCCCTTTGCTTAATTTTTGAATTTTCATTTTCAATTAACATCTACCTGTAAAGTCAGAATAACTACTAAATAAAAGCCTTATTATCATTATCTAGTCAGAGAACGACATAAAATAGCTGACATACGCACATCGTATTATTTTAAGTTGCAATTAGTAATTAGATATACGCATTCCAAGCGGTCAATATTTTCTACTGATTTCTATGATTCATGGCATATCGTATTCTCACCGAAAAACAAATAAACTGTCGTTACTATAATTAAAATAAGATAAAATAAAATAATCTTTTGTAAATACAATTTATCTAATTAAAATCATTTTCCCTACTTTTCATCTCTTGTTTCGAATGGGTACTTTTGGTCAATTACGTTAAAAAACATTAATTTAATTCATATTTGTGGAAACGAAAATACAATTTATACAACCCTAAATTGTGCTTGTGTGTGTCGTGGCAACGCCGCGTTGCTATCGTTCATAAGAAATACATGGCCCTATCTCCGCAATGTTATTTTCTAAACGTGGAACGTAGTATAGCTAATTTTTATACAGCAGGTCTTCGTGCCATACTCTATCAAAAGCTTTACTGCTAACATGTCATAATATCCCGCTAATAGAAACGTCAAAACAACAAAAAGGAATATAAAGCATTAGAAAACAAAACAAACAATAAAACTTTGTATTAGATATTAAAAATATATTTTGGACAATAATTAAAAACATAACCAAAAAAATGTATCTAACACCATTTTCAGTTCCAATGACTATCTTAGCATCGTCTAAGCGACATCACTTTGTATTTTTAATTTTTGTTTGTCCTATCCTTAATATGCTACTTTTTATAGTATTCTCTATTTTTACCTTTTTTTAGATGTTATAAATAAAAATTGTGTGTGTTTGTTATCTGCTTCTTCCTTTGTATTATAATATTAAAACTAAAAACTGTTAGAAACATACATAGTAGAAACAATATACAAGTCAGAATTAATAACAAATTAACAAAGCTTACGTATGGATGTTAAGGGCGTTAGGAAGACTCAATAAAACATATTTTGTTTGTTTCGTTATGTTTAAGTGGCCGAAGAAATAGATAGCTTTAGATGAAATGAAGTGACAACCTGGAAATTCATTAATGGGCAGTAATCAAAGTGGAAAGCAAAAAAGAAATGTTACCAAATAATTTTGTTCTCCTAATTCAATATACTCTCTCCAAAATTATTTACTCCTAAGATGTGGTCAAGAAGTTAAATTGGAAATAGCACGAAATTAAAAATCAATCGCAGATTTTTAAGTCATCTTAGATTTGCCGATGACATAGTAATCATAAGTAACAATACATAGCAACTGCTCTACATCCTCAAGGAACTTAAATAAACATCTGCGAAAATTGGTTCTTTTTCTTTAAGTGCCGTCTCCCAAACGGAGGTTGGATATCATCATCACTATCTTTACTCTACCTACTGCTGCTCTGAAGAGTTATATAAAACTGCATTTAAACCAGTCCCTTAAATTCTTCAACCTTGACACTCTCCTTCTTCCTATACTCCCTCCTCCTCTTATCTTTCCCTGTATTGTCAGCCTTAGCAGTTCATATCGCTGTTCCCTCAATACGTGTCCCATATATTGTAACTTTCTTATTTCACACTATTTGTCCATTTCTCGCTATACTTCCGTGTTAGTTTTCTTCTGTGCCCATCTATTCTAAGCATCCTCCTGTAACACCACATTTCAAAGGACTGTAATTTATTTATGTGTTCTTGCTTCAATGTCCAACTTTCAAGTCCATATTGCAGTATCGAAAACATGTAGCATCTCAGTGCTCTTTCTCTCAGTTCTAATCTAAGGTCTTTGTTGCAGAGAATTGTTTTCATTTTCACAAACGCATTTCTTGCTATTTCTATCCTGGCTTTTATTTCAGTTTTTTATCATTATTGTCGTAAATCCATTTTCCTATGTATTTGTATTTATCAATTCTTTCTATCGGTACATTTTCCAAATGTATGTTTGTTGGTATATTTGTTTTCTTTGTTATTATCATGTATTTGGTGATTTTAATACTCATTTTTAGTCCATATTTTTCACAGAAACTGTTTGTTTTGTTTAGCAGTAATTGGAGTGGTTCAGCAGAGCTTGCCATAATCACGGTGTCATCTGTATATCTTATGTTGTTAATAGATCTTCAGTTAACTATTATTCCTTAACTTTAAGATTGTAATGCTTCTCCAAAAACAGCTTCACTATATACATTAAATAGTAATGAAGACATAATACATCCCTGCCTAACTCCTCTCCTGATTTCGATTTCTGGACTGGTTTTGTTATCTATTACGATTTGTTTTCTTTGATTCCAGTAGAGGTTTGTTATTATTTGTAAGTCCCTATGGTCTATGTTTTTTGTCTTTAGAATTTGGACTATTTTTTTATGTCTTACTTTGTCAAAGGCTTTTTCAAAATCAACGTAACAAACATGCACATCAATATTCATATCATGCATCTTTGAGCTAACAGATTAAAAGCAAATAACTCTTCTGTGATTCCTAGTCCGTTTCTGAACCCAAGCTGACTGTCAACTATTCCTTCTTCCAGTTTTTTTATTTATACGACCATGTATTATTTTCAAGAATAATTTGAGAATGTTACTTATCAGTGATATTGTTCTGTATTCACTGCGATATTTAGCGTTTGTATTTTTAGGGACAGCACAAAAGGTGAAGAGGTAATCATTGTTTCGGTATGTGTTCTGTTTTGTATATTGAGTTAAATAAGTCTACTATAATGTCTAAGGTTTCATCATTTATGCATTTTATGATTTCTATAGGGATTTGGTCTGGACCTACTGCTTTACCATTTTTTCTGTTTTTAATGCCATTTTAATTTTCTCTTTTAATATCTATAAAACCATATCCTCTTCTACTTATATCTACATTTGCTCTGTTTTATTGTCTTTGAACAGTTTATTGATGTATTCTGTCCATCTCTTTAATTTGTCGTTAGTATTCAACAAAAGATTTCCATTTGTATCTTTCAGAATTCAAGTTTTTCTTGTTCTATTGTTGTGAGTTAATTCTTTAATTTTTTATGTGTGTTAAAACTATCATGTCCTTTCTGGCATTCTTCTATTTCTGCGCATTGTTCTTTTAATCGTTGTTGTTTCGCTTTCTTAATTCTGTATTTTATTTGTTAATCCACTTTTTTGTACATCTAATTATCTTTGTTTTTATATTGACGTCTTTCCTCCATTAAATCTAAAATTTTTTCCGTTATCCATTGCTTCTTTTTATATCGGGTGGTATTAAAATTTCTTTTTGACTTTTATCCATTTCTATCTTTATTAATAACCATTTTTACCCGTCTCAGTATTTTGAATTTGTTCTTTAACATTCATTAATCCGTTGTTTTTCATCTGCCAGGAGTTGCCCTATTAGTGGGTTCCTTAATTTATTTGTATCAATTTTTGCATTTGTTGTTCTTTGTTTTATTATTTTTATTTTGAGCCTAATTTTGGTTACTACTGGATTATGATCTAATTCTATGTCGACACTTGGATAGGTTTTTGCGGATATAATTGCATTCCTGTATTTTTGTCTAACTAATACATAGAAAATGGGTTAAAAAATGAATTTAAATACAACAAAAGTTATCTCAAAAGTATTGATCACCTTGGTCCTTGGTCACAAGATCAAACTAAAGAAACAGAATTAGTGTTGTGTTGAAAAACAAAAAGATGCCAATTAATTTAAAGAAAATGTTATTCAACAGCTGTATTCTACCAGTTATGACCTATGAAATGAAGACCCTGACACTTAGAGAGTTATCAGCCAACAGATTAAAAGCAACACAGGTGGCATTTGAACGAGCTATATGAGGAGTTTATCTGGGAAAACATATACGAAATGAGGATGTGCGAGGTAGGACGTAGGTGATATTGATAATTTAAAGAATTGTGCAAATGAAACGGAGCTGGGTAGGACACGTGGCACGACAAAGCAGCGAAAGATGGACGAGAAACATGGTACATTGGAGACCACGTGGGTACAGTCTGAACAGGCTGAAGAAGAAGAATATACTTTCCCCTAATGTTTTAACTATTTTATGTTTATCTATATTTGTAGTACCTATTGTTACACTAAATACTAAATATAGTAATTTTTTATTGCAGACAATATATTGGTTTATCAAATGTAATGCAGATTATTTTTACAAACAGTTGGGTGTAAGTACAGAACCAGAAGAAATAGAACCAATAAGAGCTCTCGTCAAGCCAATTTCGCTATTACACACAATGTTTAATATTGGATCACAATCATTTGATCAGGTAATACTTGTTTATATTATAATACAGTCCAAAAGTCATTTTGGTGCTGGAGAAATAAGAGCTAAATTTAAATATTGTTGATGCTTTTATTTTAAAATTGATGTCTTATTTTTTGTAGCAGATGTAGATTTTAAGTAACTTTGAAGAAAAGCTAATATTGGATTGTTATAGAATCAAAAGAATAATTGTATAACTTATATTCGCTTCGTGCGCAACCATGGTAGGTGTTGTGACCGAGGAGCAGTAAATAAATAAAAGGACGGCCTTTAGTTGCCGTTAGGCGCTTTATTACAATAAGTATAAAAACAAGTTAACCAAACGTTGACTACTATCTAAAAAAACTAAGGTTATCCATCATTTACGGAAAAACATTAGCGTCCGCCCTATACCGGAGCCAGTGTGACCAACAGCTGTCATATGTGTTAAGCCAGGTCTACACGATATGTTTCTCACGATACTACAATACCTCCCCTCTAAAGATCCAAACGATCGGGAGCTTTAATCAGTCTTTTGAATCGCACTGGCACAACATTAGCTTTATCTAAAGTTTCTTCCTCTACACTTTCACTAACTTTATCACTACTATCCGGTTCCTCATTACACGCACTGTTATCTCCTATATTCATCATTGATGAACTAATGTCGCCAATACAATCTGATACAATTAATTCAGGTGTCTTATCATTAAGAGGTGTCATAGCATCAGATCTATCAAAATCATTTAATTAATTTATTTTCAACAGTTTGGTTTAAACCTCTTAACTCATTGAATTTTCCTTTCAATATCTGATCCACATGACGCTTCCAAAATATATTTTCATTAATAATTTCACAAATATAATGCCTATCTCCTAAAACCTCATTTATACCCATTCTACCTATTTCCTTTTATTAGGATACCTATAATCCCTTACCAACACTCTATTCGCTTTTACAAATTTTTCTTCCCTTTTTATTTTTACATGTGAAAATTTCTGAGTTTTATTTTCTAATAACAAATCAAAACGGTTTCTAATCTTACGTTTAAAAATAACATCTGAAGGTGTAACACCTGTGGAAACATGTATGAAGTTCCTATAATGAAATAAATATCTTTTTAATGCAACCTCCAATGACATATTATCACCAGTGTCCTCCTTAATAATTTTTGTAACACTATTTTTTAAAGTCTTAACTGTATTTTTTGCAAAACCATTTGTGTGGGGTTGATACGGTGGAGAAGTCATGTGTTTAATTAAATTATTAGACAAATATTGTAAAAATTCCACCGAAGTGAATTGTGGTCCATTATCCGTACAAACTATTTTCGGTAGGCCAAACCTAGCAAATACTTCCCTAAACTTACTAACTGTTGCTAGGCCGTCTGTCCCATTCATTATGAATGCCTCTGGCCATTTTGAATAAGATTCTATAATAATTAATATAATTTTCCCAAAAAATGGACCCAAAAAATCAGTATGAACCCGTTCAAAGAAATAATCCCCTTTACCACATGGAATAACTGTCGCCTGAATAGGTTCTGCTCTTGAAGCATAACAAACCCTGCAATTATTAATAATTTTCTCGATGTCCCTATCTAACGATGGCCACCAAAAATATGCTCGAGCATTTGACTTCATTTTTGAAATTCCCTCATGGGTACTGTTTTACTCATTAAGCAATTGCATTCTTAATTTTATAGGAACCACTACTCGATAGCCCCACATTACTATCCCCTGTTCCACTGTGAACTCATTCCTACGGTTAAAAAAAGGCTTTAATAATTCCTCAGAACACTTTTCAGGAAAACCTATCCGAATTAAATTCACTACCTTACCCAATACAGGATCTCTTCGTGTTTCTGCTCTCAACTTTAACATATCAATAGGTGTAACATGTTCTAAAAAATTCAAATTTTTAAAATACCAAATATCTTCGCTTTGTTCATCCATAGGTTTTTTATCCTCTTCCACTGGTAACCAGCTTAATGCATCTGCCTTCACAATATCCTTTCCTTTAATATACTTTATGGTATAATTATAACCAGATAAAAAGATACACCATCTTTGCAGACGTGCTGCTGCCATCTTCGGCAAACTTTTAAACTCTCCAAATAATGTTATTAACGGTTTGTGGTCCGTTAAAATTTCAAAATGTCTTCCTGCTAATTATTCGTATAACTTGTAAGTAGCCCCATAAATGCATAACGCTTCTTTCTGTACCATACTATAACCTAACTCTGCTTGTAATAGCCTTGAAATATAATTAATTGGTCTTTCAGTGCCATCGGGCATCACATGCAAAAGCACTGCTCCTAATCCATATTCACTACTATCACAAACTAGTCTTAATTTTTTTAATGGATCAAAATGAATCAGAATTCTATCAGACACTCAATGTCCCTTTGCAGCCTCGAATGCCTCATCGCATTCCTTTGTCCACTTAAATCTTGTATCCTTTTTGGTTAGTTCATATAAAGGTTTTAAAATTTGTGACAAATTTGGAACAAACCTTGAATAGTAATTCGTCATTCCTGCAAAGGCTCTTACCTCTATTATATTTTTAGGTACTGGAATATTTACTATTGCTTTCACCTTCTCTTCACTTTTCTTTAACCCTTCTGCTGATATGATATGCCCTAAATATTTGATACTACTTTGAAACAAACAACATTTACTACTATTTAATCGAAAACCTGCCTCATCCAATCTTTTTAAACCTTCATATAAATTTGCAACATGTTCAGCATTATCTCTCCCTGTTACCACTACATCATCCAAGTAATTCACCGTCTCTGCACAACCCTGCAACACTTTCTCTACTGTTCGCTGGAAAATTGCACAAGCTGGCTTGGTACCATAAGATAAACGGTTAACTTTAAATATACCATACTGTGTGCTCCACGCAAGAAGTTCTGCTGTATCTTGTTCTACCTGCAATTGATTGTATGCATTTAAAAAATCTAGTTTGCTTAACTGTTTTCCTCCTTGTAACGCTGCAAATAGATCCTCAATTCTGGGAATGGAGTGGTTAACATTTTGCAAATATTTATTTATTGTGACTTTGTAATTAGCACAAACTCTGACATCTATTCCATTAGCCTTGTACACTGGTACTAACGGTGTTCCCCAGTTTGCATTAGGCACTAGCTCTATCACTTTACTTTCTTTTAATTTCTCAATCTCTTCAACTACTTTTTCCCTAAATGCAAATGGTGTCAGAACTGGTTTCCGAAAAATAGGTGTAACCTCTTCTTCAACTTCTAATTTATTCTTTTCATATTTAAACGTCCCTAACTCTTTCTTAAACAAATTTGCAAACTTACTTATAATATCTTCTGCAGCCGATTTTTGACAAACTGTATGCAATACTGAGCTAACTCTACTTACTTTACTGTCATCTAAATAGACATCTGGACCCTACAAACTTAAACCAAAATCATACCAAATATCACGACCTAAAATAAAATAATAAAATAAATATTTTGTAGCCCCCCCCCCAACAATCAAAAAAATGCATTCTTTTTCACTACTGTTTATCCTAACAAGTAATCTAATTTGCCGTTTTGGAGTAACCACCGAGCCATGATAAACTTTTAACATAATGGTAGTTGGTTCCAGATATACCTGAGAAAACGTTTCTTTATAAATGTTATATGGTAAACAAGACAGTCCTGCTCCTGTATCAACCTCAAACGTTATGGGTACATTATTAAGTAATACCTGCATTTTGATTGGTTCTAATAAGTCATTTTCTAAACTAAAAATATCAATATTAAAGAAATCCAATGTCTGGATCCCTGGCTCTTTGTCTGCCTGGATACTAAAATTTTTGTCCATTTTTGTTTTACAAGCCTTAACAATATGCCCTTTCTTTTTACAGTTTTTACAAATGTAATTCTTAAATTTACAATTTTTAAAATCGTGATTGGCTTTATTACAATGAAAACATAATACATGATTAGCATTTACCTTAATATCTGTTTTTCGGTTATTTTCCGAACTTGCCTTAAAGTGTCCTTGCTTCACTTCAGTGTGCCTTCGTGCACTAGCCTTATTCTCACCATAGTTGATATCCACCTCTCTAGCTTTCCTCATCGAAGCTTCTTTTGACACAGCAATTTCTAGCAGCTCTTTTAACTCCTTCTTATTGGGGTCTTCTTCACACAATCGATCTAAAATTGGGCCTTGTCTCATCCCTACAACAAACTTTTTCAGGACTCTGTATAGTAGATTCGTTCCAAAGTCGCACTCTGCTGCCACATTTTTTACTGTAATAAACCAATCATTGATTGACTCTTGACCTTGTTTCAATGAATCAAACTTTACTCTTCGTCTATATATAGAAACTCTAGGTTTAAATTGACTAGCCAACAATCTAATTATTTCCTCGTAGCTCTTAAGTCTGAGCACATACAAAAAGCCACAAGTCTCTTTAAGGATAACTCCCTAAGGATCTGCAGGATCTGCCACCTCTGGTAGACCAGTGCCGGACATTTCCAGAGGACACTCCGCCACTCCAAGCAGAGTGTACAGTGACCGGTAAGCATACTGACCACCAGAGAGTACCTTATACGGTCTAGAAGAGAAGGTGGGCTGTAAGACTTTTGGATGGCCCCACCATGTGGAGCCGAGGCTGTCTCATACTTCCACAACTGGCTCAGGAATCCTGGAACCTCCGCAAAAGAAGCACTCTGAAACTACCCCGACCAGTACTGAAGAGTACTCCAACACAGGTTCGGGTCCCACTGGCATACCAGGTTAACCCTATTAGTCCGAGCAACATCAGCAAGTACTCTCTCGAACTCAAGAACCAGCTTTGGGCTTTAGAACTTTGGGCGCTTCCAAAACCCTTAGTGTCAGAGCAGATAAAGATGGTCCTGTCTATCTGAGTCCTGAGTCTATACCTGATTATCTCCTGAGCACATACCAGAATTGCCAATATCTCGACCTAAAAGACTGATGGGAGCCGAGATCCGGCAGATTCAAATACGATTCCGCTTCCATATACTCCGGTACCTG